GCATGGTCCTGGGGAGCTGGGACATGGAATTGGGGTGCCGGAAGGTGACATTTGGGGGCAGGGAGGTGGTCCCAAGACACAAGGAGATAGCCCCAGGGTGCAGAGGGGTGGCCCTGGCCTGCAGAGGAGTGTCCCCAAGACACAGGGTGGTGGCCCAGGGGACTGGGCACTCACCTGGGTGGGGCTCAGGGTTCCAGCCCTCTCGGCCCAGCCCCCAGCGCTCATTTGGTGGCTCTTCTAGCTCTCCTGGGGACAGAGACAGAGTGAGGGGCTGGGGTGGCCTCCCCAGGCCTCTGTCCTGGCCCCCCCTAGCCCCATAGTGGAAGAAAATCCCATGGGAAGGAAAGCGGGGGGACAGAGGGGAAACCCAAGGGGACAAATCCCAGCCAGGGTGCTGCCAGGGCCGCTGAGCAGGATTTGGGATGATGCTCTGTTGCACTGAGACCTCCCATCCCAACCCCACTAATGGCAAGATGGGTGTCTCCAAAACTCACTTCGGACACCTCCATCCTCCTCCTCCTTGTTGTGCAAAGGCTCCAGGAAATCGGGTGTCTCTTCATCCTCTTTGCCCTGTGAGGGCTGCAGGGTTGGGGGTGGTTCAGGGGGGGGACTTGGTGGCACTGGTGGCTTCTTGCCAGAGGGCTTGGTGGCCTTGGGTGGCTTCTCCTTGGGCTTTTTGGAGCCTTTTGGGGGTTTTTCAGAGCCTTTTGGTGGGTTTTCAGAGCCTTTCAGTGGCTTCTCCTTGGATTTCTTGGGGGGTTTGTTCTTGTCCCGGTCCTTGTCCTTGACCTTATCCTTATCCTTCTTTGGGCCCCGGGGTCTCTCCTTGGGCTTCTTGGGGGATTTTTCCTTCTTCCCCTTCCTGGGCTTCTCAGGCTCCGTCAGAGACCCAGGAGAGCCTGATGGGACAGAAGCGGGGGGGCAGCCACCCCGAGGCAGAGTGAGCGGGGCGGGGCCGGGCTGGGGGGTGCCCCCATCCCACCACCCCCGTTCCCCTTGGGATCCTGGTGCCGATCACTCACCGGTGCCGGTGTCGGTGCCGGTGCCGGTTCCGGTGCCGGTGCCGATGCCGAGGTGGGTGTCGAAGCCCAGCTCAATGCCGTCCCGGTCCCCGTCCCGGTCCCCGCCGTCCCCGGGTCCAAGGAAGCCCCGCAGAAACTCCTCGATCTCGGCGTCGGTGAGCGCGGGGGGGCCCGCGGCTGCCCCCGGTGCCGGTACCGGCAGCAGCGGCAGCAGCGCGGCCGTCAGCAGGAGACAGGAGCGGGGCGGCCCCGCCGGGACCATCGCTCTCCGCACCGGCCCCGCTCCCCGAGAGCTCCGAGAGCCCCGGACGGGCGGGCTGGGGGCGGTGCTGCGGCTGGGGGCGGGATCCGCTCGGCACCGAGGCGGCACTGGCGCTTAACGGGACCGGAATGGAACCGGGAGGGGCACCGACAGTGGCACTGTGGCCGGCTCGGTACTGGCACTGCACCGGGGCCGGGACTGCCGGGAACCTGCATGACACCGCGCGGGACTGGCGCTGCCTAGCACCGGCACTGGCATTGGCACCGGCACTGGCACTAAGACCGGGACTGGGACCGGGATTAGCACCGGGACTGGCACTGCCAGGGACTCGCGTTGTACTGGTCCCGTCACTGGCACCGGGACTGGCACCAAGGGCACACCGGCGCTGTGCTGGGTTGCAGGGGCTGGCCGTGCATCAGCCCTTGCACGGCGTGGGAACCAGCCCGGCACTGGCGCCGATCCTGTGCCAGCCCCACCCGCTGTGCCCCACGTGCCGTGTAGGGCCTGGCCCCAGGGCTGGCACCCGGCCGGGCGCTGGCGCTGCCCCGCAGCAGCGGCACCGACACCGCACTCCCAGCACGGGCGGGCACACGGAACACGCCGGTACTCCCTGTACCCCACATCCCCGGCACCCCCGCGGCTGCAGCACACACAGGCACAGCGCCTCACACCCCAGCGCTGCGCCTGCACGGGGATCGGGCGCACACCCACCGCGTCCGTGACACCGCAGGCACAGCACACGGACATGCTGCTCGTGTTAAAACACTGAATGTGGGACATGCACAGCCAACAGAACATGCACTGCACATGGACACGGAACATACACACACCACACATGGACCTGGCGCTCAGAACAGACACACACGCTGCACGAGACCCTGCACACATGGTATACACACACTGTAC